CTGACCATTCCGAAGCAACAAGAGGTACGTTCAAAGAAGACTTCAAAAAGCAATGCAAGGTCTGATAGTGGGACTAATGCCGTCCTGGAACCAACCGACAAGTCGTTGGAGGAGGAACAGCTCGCGAGAGAGAGAACCTTTGCAAAGCAGATGGAGATCCGAAAAAAAAACCAATTGCGCAGTAGGTAGCTTGGAACGAAAAGCGTTTAGAACAAGAGTGGAAGATGCAAGAGATGGAACTCGAGGCTCGGCGTGAGATACGAAAGCGTCAACTGAATCAAGAAAGGTAGCTGCTGCAGGCCGAGGAGCGTAAATTTCTTAAGCAATTCGATACCATTCGAAATCCAAATGAAACAGAAAGCTAGGCTTTCGAAGCATGATGTCGTAGGTGCTGTCGGTGGTCATGTGGAAAAGGTGAAGGACAGGTTGGAGCAACAAGGCAAGCTGCAAACTGGAGATCCTCGTGGAGCCTACGAGAAAGGTGGAAAACCAGTTACGGTAATGAGCACCACCAAGGACCGGAAGGGATTGAATCCAGCCAAGCCGCAGTCCTATTCGGTCAGTGACGGAAAGGATTGGGAATCAAATTAAACCAACGAACAAGACTCCGACGATGGAAATACCGCCGGTTCGGGACATCGAATTGCCAGGCTCACACCAGATCAATTGGCTACTCGGAAGGCGATCTGTAATAGTCTGCCAAAGTTTAATGGACACGCACAAACCTGTTCGCTGTTCATTAGCAGCTATGAGCATACTACGGCTGCGTGCGGATACAGCAACCTTGAAAACCTCAAGCTCTTGCAGGACAGCTTGGAGGGTGAGGCATTTAATGCAGTTCGTAGCATGCTTGTGCTTCCGGAGTCGGTGCTGCGAAGACTTTTTGGCCAACCGGAAAAGTTGATGAGTACGCTGTTGGTCAAGGTGAGGAATGCACCAGCACCGAAAGCTGTCCGGCTTCTAACCTTCATCAGTTTCGGCATTACGGTCAAACAACTCTGTGACCATCTGGAAGCAGCGCGATTAAACGATCACCTCAACAACCCGATGCTGGTTCAGGAGCTAGTGGAGAAGCTTCCGCCAAATTATAAATTGGAATGGGTTAGATACAAAAGAGGAAAAGAAGGCACTCCTTTGAGGAAGTTTACCAACTTTATCACAAATATCGTTGCCGATGTATCAGAGGTGGCAGATTTTTCGACAGTGGAAAAGGAGATGGGACATCCTGCGAGGGGAAATCCTAATAGGAAGGAACACGTGTATATACAGGAGTCAGAACTCAAGCGCAGCGAATTGTCACAGAGCGAAGCGTTCAGCAAAGCGTGCTGGATTTGCCAGCGAATGGATCACAGGATCAGGTTTTGCAATGATTTCCGGAAAATGAACGTCGCAGAACGACTCAAGGCGGTAGAAAGGAAAAAACTGTACGAAATCTGCCTAAATAAGCATGGCGATAAACGTTGTGAATCCAAGCAACGTTGCCACATTAAACACTGCCAGAGAAAGCATCAATCCACACGGTACGGATCGTGCGGTCATTTTTCGCATGGTTCCGATAACGTTGCACGCAGGTAACAAACGGTACGATACGCTGGCGTTCCTAGATGAGGGCTCGTCCGCTACATTGGTCGATGAAAGTGTCGCGAAGCGACTGAACATGAAAGGAGAACCTGAACCGCTCATCGTTACATGGACCGGAAACATCAACCGGTTCGAGAATAGTTCTAGAAAGATTGACTTGATGCTGTCAACGAGGGGATCTGCGGAGAAGTGTCCATTGGATAACGTACGAACAGTGTCCAAGTTGGTTCTGCCGCAGCAGGACGTGCATTTCGCGCAAGTAATGGAGAAGTATCCGCATCTGGCTGGAGAACCAGTAGTCGATTACGCGGGAGAGCAGCCAGCGATTCTGATTGGATTGGACAATTTGCATTTGTTTGCGCCGAGTCGGAGAGAAGAATTAACCTATCGCCGTTCGTACAAGAATCGGCTGGACAGTCTATGGGCCAGAGAAACGGAGAGGCAGTGCTAACGTTTATTTGAATCTGCATTCTGTCGAACTGGTGAGCAACGAACAGCTGCATTATATGATGAGAAAGCAGTACATCCTCGACGAAACAGGAGTGTCATCCTTTGCAGTATCAAAACCGCTAGAAGATCATAGGGCACGCGCTACAAGCGACAACGAAGCGGATTGGAACGCATTTTGAAACCGGACTTTTATGGCGTGAAGACGAGCGTTGTTTCCCTGACAGCTTCCCGACGGCCGAGCGCAGGATGAAGGCTCTTGACCGGAAGCTAGAAAAGAATCCAGCGCTGAAGCTGAATGTATGTCAGCAGATTGCTGATTACCAGACCAAGGGCTACGCGCATAAGGCAACCGAAGCAGAGCTTGCAGAAACACCCTGTACGGACGTCTGGTATTTGCCGTTGAATGTAGTGCCCGGGAAGGTGCGCCTCGTATGGGATGTTTCCCTAAATTCCCAGCTATTAAAGGGGCGCGACATAATGGTACCTCTTCCTCGAGTAATCTGTCATTTCCGAGAAGGACCAGTCGCGTTTGGAGGTGATATTCAGGAGATGTATCATCAATTAGGAATTCGACGGGAGGATAAGCAGGCACAACGGTTTCTCTTCAGGTGTATGTCATGGACGTGGCTACCTTCGGCTCAACATGTTCGCCTTGCTCGGCACAGTTCGTGAAGAACTTGTGTGCGCAGTAGTTTGCAGAGAAATATCCGGAGGCAGCAGAAGCGATCATCAAGCGCCACTATGTGGACGATTACTACGATAGTGCAGACACCGTTGGAGATGTTGTCAAGCTAGCAAACGAGATGAAGTATGTTCACTCGCAGGGCGGATTTCGAATAAGAAACTGGGTGTCGAGCTCTGATGCGATTTTGGGGGAAATCGGAGAGCAGAGTACTAATTTGGCACTGCACTTCAACCGGGATAAAGGCACAGAGTATGAACGCGTGTTGGGCATTGTGTGGGAGCCAAATGAAGATGTCTTCTGTTTCGCTACCGCCCCGAATGTCGAATTCCATAATTTTTTACAAGGGAAGGAGTGTCCCACAAAACGGATTGTACTAAGCTACGTGATGGCACAATTCGACACGATAGGTTTTCTCGCACCAATCATCGTACTTGGAAAGATGCTCGTCCAAGATTTGTGAAAGACTGGGTGCAAATGGGACGACAAAATTGACGACGTTTCGTTCAAGAAATGGCTGCATTGGACTCAACTGTTGCGTGACATAGAATCGTTCAAGATCGGCCGGAGTTATTTTGGCAAAGCGAAGTCGAACGAGGTCCAAGATGTAGAGCTACACATCTTCGCTGACGCAAGCGAAACGGAAGTTGTCGATTCCTCGTAGGGAACTTCTGGCCGCCGTTCTTGGAGCCAGGCTAAAGCAAACAGTGGTCGATAATCATCATTTTGCGATTATTAGAGTGGTACACAGGATCGATGTGGACGTTGACGTGATCAACGCCGATACAAAGAATTTGTATGATTTCGCATTGGTGAAATTCTTAGTTTGACAAAAATATCCGACTGGCGCTGGGTACCTACAAGGCTCAACGTGACAGATCCGCTAACAAAGTGGGGCAAGGACCCAGTGCTACATTCTGATGGCTCATGGGTGCGAGGACCTTCCTTTCTGTACTCTCCGGAAACAGATTGACCAAAGAAACGGGTGCCACCAGGAAACCAGGAAGGCACAGCCTATGCACTGAACAATTACAATTACAATTACAATTACTTAACGTAACTAAAGAAGTTGTGGCGCACAAGAACCACAAACCTATTCTGCGTGGCGTGTGAGGTGAGATGACACGCTGCGACTTCACTGTCACCTCACCTCACACGCCGCGCAAAATAGGCCTACCAGTATCATGGAAAACTCGCTCCAAATGCTTCAGAGGATTATTCCCTGGCCCCTCAAGGTCTGTACTTGGGAAACAATTTTCCAACTTCATGTTTGTACTGGAAGCACAAGTGGATCAATTTCATCCACGCCTTGTACGCAAATTCAGGATCAACCAGAAACTCATGCCTATAGTGTCGACCCTCATTCACTAAATTATGATGTATTAAATGAGTTAAGAAATACGATCTAACCTTTCCAAATTACTTCAGCATTAATTCTGACACGCTTCCTGTAACTGCTGCACTGTTGCATGGTTCTGAAGTTGCTCCCATACCAGTTAACCCACAAAAAGCCATATTATGGACGGGGGCATCGACACTCGACATACCACACCGTAAGGTCCCAGAGTGAAAGGAAGGTTTAGTTGGTTGTTTTCAATTTCGTTCGTTCATGTGCAGTATCTTTGGGGATGCTGACGGCTTGCATCATGTAACCCCACACACCGTCGTGTTGTCGCTTCTGTAGCTGACCTTCACAGAAGAACAAGGTTTTGGCGATCAATGGCATATAACCACTGGGCCACTGGGGCAGCATATGAGGTAGTACAAAAAAATGCATCATTTAGCTTCCCGTCCTATTCGATACTAAAATGCAATTGTACAGGGTTCCCAGAAAACAACTTCCGCTGATCGCGTTTTGAATTTCAGATTCTGCCTAATTGCTACCGACAAGAGATACCACTGCGTCAGTAGCATGTATTGTAACAATGCATGCAAATGATGCACTTGCTCCTTTCGTCAGCTGCAATCAATCAATCACCCCATGCCGTTCACGGTGAGGCGATTAGATAACCTTCTCCGATCGGATTGACAATTTGCCAGCGAATAAATTTAACCGGCTGGTCACACTGGATTGTTGCAATGAATTACAACTGCACACGTAAAAATGCAGCGCCGTCCTTCCACATGGACCAGGAACAGATTGAAAAAATCGAGAGGCGGTTATTCTTCAAAAAACCGGGCAATCAACCCATTCGATCTTTGGCTGTTTTAACAGCAAGAATGATATTGAGGTAGGTTACAATGCAGCGCTGCACTAGGTTGCACAAACTGCAGATCGCTCGGCAGTTTAATTTTCAGCGTCGGATCGGATGGATCGCTGTAGTCTTGTGAGTCCAATCGCGTGAGATCCTTGCGGAACAATGATAAAGTGGAAAGTGTGGGTGGCGATCATTTCCGGATTGTCGTTGATTTGTCCGGGAATATGTGAACCGATTAAAAGTGAGAGTGTGATACTTTTTAAACTGAATAAAAGTGAATACAAGTGTGCTTTGAATTTTAGGATCCGAATACAACAAAATGCCAAAGCTGTTTCAGTACGAATATTACGACGATTGTTTGTTCGCCGATCCGGAAGTGGAGGCAACCTACTGTATGGTGCGAGCCGTGATAAAACCGGACAACGGTTCCGAACTGTGGAGGTTGATTGAAGAGTTTTCCAGCAAACGGAAGCTGCATTTGAACCACGCTGCGTTGGATCGGGGAATTTGCATCGGTGATGTGAAGGAAATGATGGATAAGTATCGAGGGGTCAATGTCAGCGAACTGGTGGTGCCAAAATTTGATATCAATTTCCCGGTAAATTAAAGTTTATTTTAAGTTTGAGAAAAAAACATGCATTATGAAATTAGTTCAAAATTATTTAACTGGCAGAACTCTGCAGGTCCAAATCTGAACGGCTGTAGCATTTTTGAGCATATATTGTATAACATTTTCACTTCGGACCTCCCTAGTTTGCCTCAGGGTTGCCACAAATCTTTGTTCGTCGTTCTCATCTTATTTAAAAAATGGAAGATTTCTACCAACGTTTCCAGAACTCAACTTATAATATTCCCGCATAAGCCTAGAGTTTTTTTTTAACTAGTTCTTTTATTTACTAGGCTCAGTCGTGTGTGACACTTTGCGGAGCCAAAATCAGTAATGTTTGATTTACATTTTAAATAGCAGCATTTCTAGGTTAGTATTGGGTACCAATTACTCGTGGCGGGCTCGAGGTTAATGTGTAACAATTTCAATTGGAAGGATCTAGGTAGGAAACTGGTTTCTGAAGCCTCCTACACATACTACTCTCGGACGGTTGACCAAATCCTGACTGGGCAGGGGCAAGTAGCACAGGAGCAGGAGGATAATAGGACTGGGACACAATGGCGGGAAATTGTTTGGAAAGGAGGGGATAGTCACATCAAACTCTAACATCAGACAAACAAAGGAATTCGTAGATCGCTTGCATGTAGGGAAGATCACGTGTTCCCAATACATCTCTTACTTCACGGAAGGGTTGTCTACCTCGGGCCACTAGGGTATCCAATAGTCGTGCTCTGGAGGCGTCATTACCCGGGCAATACCAAACTGCGTGATCGATGTCATCATAACCGGTTCTGCAGCTACATATATTGCTGTCAACGAGGTTTATTTTATAGAGATGTGCGTCTAGCGAGTAGTGGTTGGACATAAGTCTTGACATCACTCGAATGAATCCCCGACTTACATCCAGACCTTTGAACCACGCTCTCGAAGAAACATTTGGAATAATGGAATGTAACCACCGCCCAAGAGAATTATTTGTCCAATCGTTTTGCCAACTTAAAAGAGAACTCTGACGTACTAATGGGAAAAAATCATCATGTGAAATTCTTCTATCATAAATCTCGCCTTGTTGTGCGCCCACCTTTGCGAGAGAGTCTGCCTTCTCATTGCCTGGGATTGAGCAATGTGAGGGGACCCATACAAAGGTAATCATATATGATCTTTCGACCAGCAAACTCATCTGCTCCCTTACCTTTGAAAGGAAATAAGATGAGTGCCTACCTTTCATCGACCTAATAGCCTCAATCGAACTGCGACTATCCGAGAAGATTAAGTAATGGTCTATGGGAAGGTCGGAAATCATCCCCAATGCGAAGTTGATTGCTGCTAGCTCAGCAACATAAACGGAACAAGGTTCCTGAAGTTTCCGAAAGGCGGTTGAGTATTCATTGAAGACGCCGAAGACAGTGGATCCATCAATGCGTGATCCATCAGTGAAAAATCTTCTATTGCAATTGACTTGTTGGTACTTTTCAGCAAAAATGTGGGGAATTGAGATAGGTCGAAGTTGATCTGGAACTCCTTGAATAGCCTGTTTCATGGAGAGATCATAGTCAATGGGGGAACTGTAGTTAGTAAAGCATACACGAGAGGGGTTATAGCAAGGAAGGCTAATATCCAATTACATATAATTAAGATAGATTCGCACGAATCTAGACTGGATGCTCAATTCGAGCATTTCTTCGAAGTTTTCAATCACAAGGTTGTTACTGACACTACATTTAATCAATATTCTTAATGAGAGCTTCCAGAAACGGTTCTGCAGGGGTTTTACGCCCGCTAGGACCTCTTGGCTCATATTGTGTGTTGAATGCATACAGCCAAGGGCAATACGTAAACAACGATATTGAATACGTTCCAATTTGATTAGGTGGCTTTTTCTTGCCGAGTGGAAGCAAAAAGAGCCATACTCAAGAACTGAAAGAATAGTCGTTTTATATAGTTTAATGAGGTCTTCCGGGTGAGCACCCCACCATGTCCCGGAAATTGATCGTAGAAAGTTGATCCTTTGTTGACACTTTTGTTTCAAATACGTAATGTGGGTACCCCAAGTGCATTTTGAATCAAACCAGACTCCAAGGTATTTGAAGGTTAAAGATTGGGTAATGTCTCTGCCCAAAATATTTAGACGCAGTTGGGCTGGAAACCGCTTCCTTGTAAACACTACCAATTCAGTTTTTTGCTTTTTTGCGGTGAAAACTCGATCCCTAAATTTCTTGCCCAGAGAGACAGATTATTTAGGGAATTTTGCAATGGTCTTTGCAAGATTTCTGCACGTGAACCTCTCATGGAAACCACGGCATCATCTAAGCGTGCATTGATTATCTAAGCAGTTAGCAATATCTTTGACATAGAAATTATAAAGTAAGGGACTTAAACATGAACCTTGGGGTAAGTCCATGTAGCTAATTCTAGAAGTTGTCAGTTGACCTAGATTGAAGGTCATTTGTTTTTCTGACAGCAAATTATACAAAAAATTATTCAAAATACCGGGTAATCCACTACTGTGCAAATTGTCTGACAGTATGTCTATGGAAACCGAATCAAATGCGCCCTTAATATCCAAAAAGACTGAAGCCAATTGCTCCTTGTGCGCAAAGGCCAGTTGAATATCAGATGAAAGCATCGCTAGACAATCGTTTGTTCCTTTACTCTTCCGGGAACCAAATTGCGTATTTGAAAGTAGGTTGTTTGATTCAACCCAATGGTCAAGTCTTAATAGGATCATTTTTTTTCTAATAATTTCCTCAGGCATGATAACATAGAGATCGGACGGTAAGAATTGTGATCAGACGCTGGTTTCCCAGCTAATGCTTTAACCTGTCTCCATGCTGGTGGAACTATATTGAATTCCATAAATGAATTATATATTTAGGTTAAGTAATCGTCTTTTAGCGATATCGGGGAGGTTTTTTAGAAGGTCAAATTTGATCATATCGCTTCCCGGAGCAAAGTTATTCGATTAAAGAAGTGCCATTGAAAATTCCAGCATTGTGAATGGTTCATCCAGAGAACCGTTACTTCGGGCTGTATCCCGTAAAGTTGATTGTGCTGGAACAGAATCTGGACAAACCTTTTTAGCGAAGTCGAATATCCATTGGGAGGAGTATTCTTCACTCTCATTGGAAGATGAGCGGTTTCGCATATAGCGAGCGCCTTTTTCCAAAGCGTTGTCATCGAGGTTTCTCTAGAAAGTCCCTCGATAAAAGTACGCCAGTAATTTCGTTTCTTTGCTTTTAGTAAGTTTTTAAGCTTTTTTTTTCAAGCTTTAGATATTTTTCAAAAAGCTCAGATCTTTCATGTCTACGATAATCTTTAAAGGCATCGGATTTCTCAAGATACAACTTTGTGCATTCGTCATCCCATCCAGGGGTGACGGGTCTTCTTTTGAGGGATGCACTTGGAACACGTCGTTTCTGAGCTTCTAATGCGCTTTTGTAGATTAGCTCGGTAAAGAAACGATACTCTTCCAGTGGTGGTAGAGGATCGGTAGAATCAATACCAAGAGTTATCGCCGATACAAATTTTTGCCAATCAATGTTCCTCGTGAGGTCAAAAGGAACTTGAATTGACTGATCTGTTTTTAGACGACCACTTTTGATTGAAATAATAATTTATTTGGCAAGTGATCACTACCATGGGGATCATTGATAACCTTCCACAGACAATCTAATGATAGTGAGTTAGAGCACAAAGAAATGTCAAGACGGCTCTCTCGAGCAGGAGGGTTTGCTATACGTGTTGCTTCACCAGTGTTCAAGATAGTCAAGTTGAAATCGTCGCACAAATCATATAAAATACCCGCTCTATTGTCATCGTATGATTCGCCCCAACCAGTACCGTGTGAGTTCATATCGCCCAGCATTAGAACTGGAGATGGAAGGATATTAACTGAACTCCAAAGCTGACGGCGGTTTATGGAAGTCCTTGGAGGGACATATACAGAAGCTATGCAAAGATCTTTGTTCTTCACATTTATTTGGCAAGCGACAATTTCAATGCCTGAAATTATTGGGATTGAGATTTTATAGAAGGGGTAGCACTTTTTGATCCCCAAAAGTACGCCACCATATGAATCATCTCGGTCCAGGCGGATAATGTTAAAATCGTGGAAGTTTAGTTCATCTTCAGAAGAAAGCCAAGTTTCACAGAGTGCAAATATATCACAATCAGAATTGTGAATCAAATACTTGAACGAGTCTAATTTAGGTATTAAACTACGACAGTTCCTAAGCCTAGAGGTTGCTTTTTGAAACCTTGTAGTAGTCACATAGTCACTATGAACGGAGTTCCAATTTTTGGTCAAGTCAAGGAAAATATCTTGGATTAGTACTTAACCAAAAATTAACTTTTAAAAATCACATTGAGGGCATTCAAGCCAAATGTAACACATATATAAAATGTTTGTATCCTCCTATATACAGGTAAAGGGTGTCCACGATGAAATTGCCACACACAAAATTGATTCACAAAATTCGAGTTTTCATCCGATTGCCATCAAATTTTCAGGGATTGAGAAATAACTATTAAACTTCATTTTACCATTTTACTCGTATTTTATTTACAGTCCATACGCAAATGCCCGCACCTTGGCCTTAACCCCGGCCATAAGATTCTGCACAACCTGTGAATCAACCGTTTTTTGCATGTAAACCCATACTTTCTTCAGTTCCTCGACTGTCTTCACTACCTTAGGTCGTTTAAGAAGGTGCTGCTTCATAATCGCCCAGTACTTCTCGATGGGGCGGAGCTCCATTTTCGGCACGAAATTGACCTTATTGTCCGCATACCACTTCAGCACGTCCTTGGAGTAGTGGCATGAGGCCAAATCCGGCCAGAAGATTGTTGGGACGTTGTGGGCCTTCAGGAGAGGAAGCAGCCGCTTCTGGAGGCACTCTTTTATGTACACCTGTCCGTTCATCGTGTCCTGGGTCACGAAAGGTGCACTCCGTTTCCCGCACGTGCAGATGGTTTGCCAAACCAGGAATTTCTTCGCAAATTTGGACATCTTCTGAGTGCGGACATGCTCCGGAACGCTGAACTTATCCTTGGCCGTGAAAAACAGGTTGCCGGGGATCTGTTTGAAGTCGGCCTTCACATATGTTTCGTCGTCCATGATGCAGCATTCAACTTTCGTCAGCATGTTGAGGTACAACTTCCTGGCACGGGTTTTGGCGGACTTGTTCTGCTTCTCGTCGCGATTAGGGGCATTTTGTACCTTGAACGTTCGAAGCCCAGCCTTAGTTTTGGCCTTCTGGACAAAACTTCGGCTTAGGTGCAGCTTCTTAGCCACATCCCTAACGGAGGCGTTCGGATTTCGGTTGAAGGCCACAACTACGCGGTTGTGATTTTTGGTGTTGTACGGAATACTTTTTCCTTCACTTCTGGGCTTCCGATCGGTCGTCAACCGTTCCTCGAACCGCTTAATCACAGCGACACCGTGGAATTCGCGATTCCCAACGTTTTAGCGATGGAACGATGCGAGAGATCCTTGTTCTCGTGATGAATGCGCAAGATTTTATCACGCACGAGCTGTTCTTTCGACTCCATTTCCGCGAGTTTTGATCACAGGACTTTAAAACTTGCAGGATGTAAATAATGCACTATGAACTAAATCCACCCAAATTTTCATTAAATTCTACCCAACGGTTAAAAAGTTAGAGCAATTTCATAGTGTGGCAATTTCATCGTGGACACCCTTTAAAATGAACACATGAATAATGCTCGCATAACATTTGAAAATGGATTATGATTTTTTCTAAACAACTTGCAAGGTCCTTTTCACTAAAACCGAAGTATGCTTACGTAAACCAAGAGAACTATCAGGAAGGGGAGAATTTCTCCTACCCGATGGTGTTAGTTTGCGTGGGCGTATTCGGTTCGCGCGAAAAGGGCTTAACAAGTTTTGTGTACAAAAGTTGATAGGCCCGTTTCAAATGTTACGCGAGTATTATTCATGTGTTCATTTTTAGTAAACAGGGCCCCGCTGTTGTGTCACTTTTTGTCGAGCGAGTGAACTCAAATCCATCCGTGCACTCGTCTATGAATCAAAACGGATCTAGATGAACCCATAAAGGTGGTTTCAATTTTTAGAACGGAATACACTGTCAAATCATAGAACACAATCTGGACAGAAAATACACACTCAAACATAAAACACAATATCTGTCTTTATAACTAGAAAATGGATTACACACTAATCATAACAGGCACATAATTAAACTACAACCTGAAGAATAAACTTCTAATATTTAAACAATTTTTTAGACCGGCCATGCTTTACGTTGTGCCAATATGATCAAGTTGTTGCACTACCAGGAAAAAAGCACTTCAAAGAATTCAGAACAAAGTTCTGAAGATGGTTTTGAAGTTGCCTCCCTGGTACAGTACTACCATAGAGGTAACTCTTAGACCACTGGGTCCCGAAGAAAATCATTATTATTTTTGGCTCACTCAGTACCAGAACAACGGTCCCAAGCAGTCCCAAGCTATTTCACTCACCCCTGCATGTTCTGCATGAATCCACACACCCCTGATGTTATCTGTCAAACTTTCATAGCGAATCAAAACAAACATAGTGTAGTAATAGAAATTCAACTAGAATAGGGTACGTTAATCGTTTGCTTGGGACCAATAGGCTACTAAAGTGGTGAGCCAATTTAAAATCGTTAGTTTCCTATTGATTGTTGGTACTACCGAGGAAGTTAGAATTTCGAATGTTGAGACTTTAGAACAAATGTCCAACAAAATAATTAATAATTTTAGGCAAAAATCGTTGCAATCCTCAATTATGTGCCTACCTCTCAGTGTTTTCTAACCTATTAATAATTTACTTTCCATTAAAAAATGTCATCACATGGAGCAAAAATACATAATTTTCAAAACCCATTCGATTTAGGCACGGTGCCAAAATCGACCCGTACCTAAATTGACCGAGTACTGTAATTAGGGGTTGAAACCGTTGACGTTTTTTACTACACTCGCTTCGTTGTAGTGCGCGACAGTCTGTCTGTATTCGTACTCTCATGCTCTACCGTAATCTCTCTTAGACAACACAAACGGTAGAACAACATTCGAGCAAAAAGAAAACTATCAAATAACCACAGACAAACAGACATAACACATTGAATATTTCTCACTGTAAAACATCGTCGCTAAAACATTACCGCCATCTGTTGAGTACACTGTGGTGGGTAGTACGCTGAACAGATGGCGGTAGTGTGTAAACGTCAAACGCAAGGAAAATGACTATGCGCGCCGCAGGTGGCGGTACTACAAACTACGATACTTTTAAATTGACCGTTAAATGCTAGTTCGATGAACAACTTGCGAGTGTTATGTCTGTTTGACTGTGAAATAACTATCATATGACATGTGTGAATTCGTTCTGATTCCTCAATTTGGTGTAAATTAAACCATTTCTGTTCAGAAATGTTATTACTAGGGCATCGTTGCTTGCTATTTTCAGAATTCACACAAGCACAACATCAGCAGCTCTTATTATGAGAAAAACTAAAATACATATATTCGTGACGGTCTTCGGTGACAGTGTCGTATGACAGAGCCAGTCATATGACATTTTAGTTTGGTTAGTGTAATTTGATTGCATATTTTGCAAGTATCGGAAGCAAAGGCAGACGATTATCACAGAAAATGTGTCCACTACAGTGACCGCTTACAAGACTGTCAGTAATACCAATTAAATTATTAATGTTTTTCAGTACAAAATCAAACACGATGCCTTCAAAAACACAGCGGCCTATATTCAAAATTATTCCGAAATTGCCAGCATTATCATCAACAAGGATTTGTCCGAAAAACATGGCCTCAAAGCATACACAGAGATCGAATACTGTGATCGAACTGGAGTTGATGAATTTCCCATTGGTGAATACCAAATCTCATAGATTGCAGTAGATATTTAACTCATTAGCCCCCCCTTTCTCAACTCCCTCGCACAGATAACCTGGACATTGCCTTCGTCGTCATCATGGCCGTGCTGATCATTCTGGTGTTCCTCTCCAGCTGGTACGACTACCAGTGCAAAGTCGGTTTCGGCCTCAATCACTACCGCGAGGATTTACCCACTCAAAGTTAGGTCGTGCCACCAACGAGTTCAATTCCTTAACTAATATCTGTCTCCTCCATCACCACCCCGATAGAGTCCATGCTGCTGGCATCGTTCTCCGTGATCCGTAATTGGTACCGGCTGACGGTCCGCGCGAGGGAACCACTTAACCGGGACCTTCGGGTTATCCAAGCGGTTCGGTACCATACCTTCACCCTGACGCTGATTGGCCATGCCAGCATACTGGTGCAACCGCGAACCGGGTGGGTTTTGGAGCAAAAGTACCGGGAGCTGCAGACGATGATCATTGTCAATGGGTTTCAGATTGTATCGACGTTCATCGGAATCAGTGGGTTGGTTTTCACGATCATGTTCATTCATAAGATGCAGGAATTGGGCAAGAAGCCTGGATGGTTGACGATTATTACGGTGACCGTTAATCGCTACATTCGGTAAGTGCGTGTTCCCCGCAACGTTCAAGTAAGGTTGATGGCAGTTAAACTCATCAACAGGCTATCTCCGGTCTACGCATTGGTGTTGCTGTTCAAAACTACATGGTTCATACGGCTTCAGGATGGCCCGTTCTGGCGGAGAGGTGTGGAAACGGAACGAACCTTCTGCCGTCGGAACTGGTGGATCAATCTACTGTACTTCAACAACTACTACAAACTGGAAGAACCGTGCATGCAACATTCGTGGTTCTTGGCCAGCGACTTCCAGCTATCGATCATCGGACTGATAGTTGTCACAGCGGTCGTAAGGTTCCCGAAGATTAAGGTGTTCCTTTTAGCCATGGTAACAGGCATATCGGTGTTCATTCCGGCCGTCGTTGTTTACAAAAATGGCCTCGACGGTGTGACCATCTTTTCACCAGAGTAATTACCCGATTTGGAATTTAACAAAATAAGAACTGTGCTATAACAATGTATCCTACAGAGCCAGGCGTTTCATATTTTGGTACGACGAAGTATACCACAAAACCTACCTGCCGACTCACATGAATCTCATCATCTACATGTTTGGAATAATCACTGGACTGCTGTATTTCCAGTTCAAAAAGAGCAACTGCAATTTTGGCACGCACTGGGTAAGGTGTTAAGTTTTTGGATCCTCCTGATCTAGTTGTCCGTGTCAAACTGTTCCCTTCTCTTTCCTGTAGCTATTCCGCATCACCTGGTACTCGCTGTTTCTTCTTGGACCGGGCCTCTTCCTGACGGGACGCATATTCTATGTGAACGATTTCCCGAAACCATCGCTCTGGATGTCGATCTACTTTGCGGCGGCTCGCGTACTGTGGGCCCTAATCATCGTGGTTGGATTCTTCGGTTTCGTTTACCGGGTTAACAAACCCGTCACCCGGCTGCTGAGCATTCGCTTCTTCGAAATCCTTGGTCGACTGACGTACGGAGCGTATGTTGTACATTTCTTCATCATCAAAATGATGTTCTACAATGTGCGGGAGCTTTCCAACTTGAGCGTTTTCGATATCGTAAGTACCGATGCAAGTTTCAATTTTGTTTTAGGATTGTAAGTTAATTGATTTTACAGTCAACAAAACTCCACGGAACACTGTACCTTTCGCTTATCCTATCACTGGCTATGGCCTTGCTGGTAGAACTGCCCATATCAGCGATTCAGAAACAGTTACTGGCGGGACTAATGAAGCAGAAGAGACGAGGCAGCCATAACCACGTGGTGCCCGAGGAAAACGCAAACGGGAAGAAGAATACACCCACAAACAACGGCGGATATGCTAATGATGCTTTCAGCAGCTCCTTCAAAGAAAACGTTGAATTGCAGCAGCGACTGTGAATGATTATTAAACCTTAGTTTGGATATCTAACGGCTTTTTATTCTAGTTATATTCGAAATGATTGCTTAGTGGCTTTTCAAAGTATGATTTGGATTGTATTCGATTTAATTTCATCGGGTTTTTGTGATTTTTGGGATTTGTGTGAAGGGAAAAAGATCGGAAACATATCTTGATGTACGGAACTATTGAGCAGCTTCGCTCATTTGGCAAAAACGGTCGCTGTTAGGACACTGATACCCCGTTCATCACAGCTTCACTGCAAACCACTGTGAGTGACGATCGTTTAAGCTGGGTGACATAAATCTATTCAAATGAAATTACGTCCTTGAAAGGAATAAATTATGGTTTCAAACCCAAATCGAGCATAAATTTACCGAGAATATAATTTTCTGCACATTTCTGACCGAGTTCTATTGGTAGCAATTTTCCACGTTCTTTTTTAATAGTAGTAAATTTGCTTTTATTTCTGTTCATTATGATTTTACATTGTTTTAACATTTTCAGGCTCTTCATCTTTGTTTCATATTCTAATTTACGTATTAAGGTTTTTCTACTAGTCTACAGAATACCCCTGGGGGAGGTGGAGTGGTGTTATGTTTGAATTGAAAAAAGTAATAACCTACCTAACTACGAGTATAACTTAACCTAACGTGCTAGATCACGTATGATCTGATGAGTTGATCTCAGACAGGTGTCTCTGAACCTTTCCAGGATAAAAACTCTCCGTTCTTCTAATGTCTGAATTCCAGCCAGAATTTCTAGTTCGGATCGCGTTAGGATCATCCTAAGGATCTTCTTCTGGATCCTTTGGAGTTTGAGGTGATGGCATTTGGCGCAACTCTCCCAGATTGGCATACCGTACTCGATTACGGGAAGGATGATTTATTTGTAGACAGCAAGCTTATTTTTCAGGGACAGTTGTAGACCTCCTGTTGATGAGTGGATACAGGGATCTTATCACGACGTTACACTTGGTTTTCGTTTTATCAAAGCTCCCTAAAAATCAGCTTGCTGCCTATTGTTAAGCCAAAGTAGACTACCTCTTTCGACCATTCCACCACTGTGCCGTTCAGGCAGATCTGATTATTCTCCGACGGAACAAGTCTGGGATATTTAGAGTGTGGAAAGATGATGACCTGGGCCTTTGCCGCGTTGATACGGATCTTCCAGCTGTTGAAATATTCAGACAGGACGTCCAGGCCTCTCTGAAGTTTGGCAATCAGAGCTCCGATGACCCTACCCTTGTAGACGATGGATGTGTCATCTGCGAACAGAGACAACGATCCACCATTAGGAAGAGCCGGCATATGGGAGGTGAACAGGTTCAATAAAATGGGGCCAAGGATGCTTCCTTGTGGAACCCCGGCACCGATGTTGGAAGCATCCGATGTGATGACATTCAGAACGACTCGGAACGTCCTGTCTGATAGATAGTTATTTATTATCTTCACTAGGAAGATTGGAAGACCGTACTGCTGCAATGCCAGACATTGTAGAACACTTTTTCAACGTCCAATAACACCATAGCAGATGTTTTCGAAACAGATTTGTTCCGTCTGTGAATGTTTGTTACTCGAGTCAGCTGGTGGACGGTCGAACGACCTTTCCGAAACCCAAACTGTTCCTCGAGTAGCAAGTTGTTTTCTTCGGCACATGTTAGGAGCCGGTGATAGACTGTTCTTTCGAACAGTTTTGATAACCCTGAGAAAAGGCTGATTGGTCGATAACTTGAAGGAGAGGACGGATCCTTCCCAGGCTTCCGGATGGGTATGACTTTAGCTGACTTCCAACACGAGGGGAAGTAACCAAGTCGGAGGCACGGATTAAAAATCAGATGGTTGTAGAATGTGGAACTCAAGTGTTTGAGTTCCAAATTCAGGACGTTGTCGAAACCTGGGGCCTGATTTGATACAGGCCAACAGAGACAAATATTAGGAATCTGATGGAGGTTGGTTGCGTTTACAGCAACCTCAGCTTCGTGAGGGCTGACGATGTTTTGTCCGAGATTATGAGAGCTGACGAAGTGTTGACCTACCGCGGCAGCCTTCTCTTCATGAGCTATCAGATAAACCACTGGATCGCCGGGACTAGCCAGTGGGGTCAGAAATCCATATCAAATCCTTCTCAAGAGGAGTTGTTGTCGCCGTCGGTGAGGTCTCCGCCGGGATAACAACAAGTTGAACGGAAACTTGATCGTAATTGTTTTGTGACAAAAGGAGCTCGGTGGCCTAGTGCCGACCGATTTTACTCATTGAGCAGTTGAATCGTTAGGACATCAATTCAGCATATCGTTTACCAAAACGAATTCTGCTGCAATCGCAACATCCTTGTGATTTCTCGTGGAACTGCAGAGGTGTTCTCGGCTTTCATTAAAGCGAGTATTACGTCAACATATTCCTATCCATTCGTTTCTTGACCAGCATTAATTACACCATTTTATTTAGGTTTAATGTAAGATTTGTTTGGTATAAAGATACTAGTTGGTTATTAATGGTTAATTATTGAAAATTGATCATAGTGTTTAGCCGTAATCAACCAATCACGTGCTCGCTCGCTATGATTATCGAGAGAACAGAGAGACAAGCTGGCACCGCTCAATACTCAATATAATTTTTTGTATCAGCAAAATACAGAAAAAAAGGAGGGGCATAGAATGCTAATCTAAATGCTTAAGTAATGGAAACGTAGAAAGTTTGAGGGCATTCTTTGCTCGACTGTTGAGCTGTTCAGTCCGTATGTTCACTCGAGATCTCGTTTCGATTTTGTTTAATTTTGTGCTGTCGCATTTCGCCGTGGAGCTGTTGCCACCTTCTCGCGTTCCGGAAAGTTTACTTGAACATGCAAACACGAAACAAATGGTGCGTAAACGTGCCAATGAGACAGGAGCGGGCCCTTCATGAGACAGGCTGCGGTGAAATATGAGCTGAAGCGGCTTGGGCTCAAGCCTGAGGCATTGTACCGGCGATGAACAGGCGTTCCAACCACAACACCAGCTTCCGTGATCAGTTGTTCCTTGTGCACATCACGAAGAGATCCACCAGTCTAGCGGCTCTGAGATCCAAAATCTGGGACCTGTTTCAGGTCATCATCAGTTGGGAGCATTACAAACTCCAACGTCGTGATGTAACGCAGTGTATGAACTGCCTCTCATATGACCATGGCACCAAAAACTGCCACATGAAGACAAACTGCGGAAAGTTTACTGGAACTCACTCAACTGCGTCCTGTGAGCAAGATGATGACATCGAGGCAACGTGTGTCAATGGCGGTGAAAACCACCAAGCCTCCAATCGCGGATGTCCCAAGCGAGTGGAGTTCATGAATATCCGTTGGAAGGCTACAATCAACAATCAGCCCCATCGCATCCGTAATCATCGTTCGCCTCCTGTACTCACGGAAGTCCAGTACCCAGCTCTCCAGCCCCGTAGACATGTTCCGAACCTAGCCCGCTTCCGCTCAACAACCAACAAGCCAATCCTGCGAATATACAAATGGTTCCCAACAGTCGGACAGTTCAGCATCGTCTCGCTGCTGCTGCGGCCCAGCCATTTCGAGGTCATCATCATCGTGCGCACCTGCAAGACTCGATCTGAACAGCTACATGCTGCCCTGTCCCTTGTCACTAAGTATGGACCGTGAAGCTATCAAGATCGTAAATTGAGTTTGTTGGCATTCTCAACGAACGACACATCGACATAGCCGTCATCACCGAGACTCACTTGAAGCCCGAGCTGAAAGTCTTCCTTCCCGGCTAATACTATCGGCTCGTAAGGCTTGACCACACCAGCTCCGGGGTACTACCAAGCTTCCAGCTGAAAACTATCGAGGCCATCGGAGTTGAGGTGAGTACATCGCTTGGTCCAATCACCATCATCGCGGTCTACTGCCCCAAGCAAACCAACATTAGGGACGGCTCGGCCGCAGACCTCCGAAGAGACATCATCAAGCTAATACGACGGTGGCAAAATGTCATCATCGCTGGCGACCTGAACGCCAAGCATCAAGCCTGGGGCAATAGCCGGTGAAACCAGAACGGCACAATCTTGTACAACGATCTGCAGGAAGCCCACTACAACATCCTGTGTCCGGACACTCCCACCCGGTTGAGTCGATCCGGAGCTCATGCCACCATCGACATCTTCACCAGCAACATTGGCGATAACATCTCTCAACCTATCAGGAACTGAGCTCGGACCACTATCCGGTGGTGGGCGAAGTAGGTTCCTCGAAATTACCATCGTGTCAACTGGCAGCAGCACTAGCGCTGTGTGGACACAGCAATCGACTACGACGTCCTACCGGAGTCGTTCGACAGGTACTCTGAACCTTGACAGTCCAAAGATCTTATCAGGCTTCGTAACACCATTCGTAGGCAGTTCCAGCGTTCTGGGCTGCCCCATTTGAAGACCAATGTCAATAGGCTAACCAAAATTATCCACGCCAGGATGGTGGAACTCAGAAATAACGATTTTGCCAACAAGATTCACTCTCTCCCAGATTGTGCAAAACCATTTTGGAAGATGAGAAAATTTTTGAAAAATAAGCCGAGACCGATCCCTCCACTTTCCTCTGTTGACCAGAACTCGGACCCATCCCTACTCATAACCCCAGTTGAAGAGGTCAATGGTCAATGTGATTTCACATAATCTTGGTCAAACCATGGTGAGCTACCATGAGCCTGCCGTACTGGAGGCAATGTCTAGAGTCGTTGACACCCCGTAGTAGTGCATGATGATAGTAGAATATCGGCTGATAGCAGCTATTAGAAGCACTAAAAACATGAAGGCCGCGGGTATGGATGGTGTGGTCAACCTCAAGTTGAAAAACTTGAGTATTGACTTCTTCAACCATCTTACCGTTATCTCAATAAAGGTTTGGAGCTTGGCTACTTCCCTGCATGCTGGAAGTTAGCCAAAGTGATTCCAAAACGCAAGTCTGGCAAAGATCCTACCAGTGCCAAAAGCTATCGCCCCATCAGCCTCTTATCCTCCATCTCGAAG